ACAAAATCACACTCAGGCACCCCCCTTTAAGCCCCCCTAGACCCTTTAAAACAAATTTATACCCCCTATCTCCCCCTTGACAGCCAGATCTCAAAAAATGAAAAGAGCCCGGATTTGGGGTCCTCTGGGAGAGCACAGAAAGGCAATTTCTATTTATTTATTGTTTTGCATGCCCTGGTACCCCAGGCATCCCGACCAGGTGCTCGGCCGGCCATGAAAATCTTCCTAGAAAAAAAACCATCAAAAAAATCTTAAAAAAACAAGTATGTTATGCAAAATGACATTTCAAACAACTTTCGCCTGAGACTCATCTCAAAATTTCGTACCAAACTTAAGGAGTTGAAAATCAAAAACACAAAAAACAAATAAATTGGACTAATTTTTAAATGAAAAACAAGGAAAAAACAGAAAAAATAAAAACAAACTTCTGTCCTAAATATATGTTATGCCAAAACATGATACAAATAACTTTCGCCCGGGATTCATCCTCGAGTAAAAAATAACAATACAAAAAGGTAATATTATCATAATAATCTAGGCTACCAGAGTGACCCGGGACAACGCCCGGCTGGGCCAAAAACAAAAAACAAAAAAAAAAAACTTTTTAATTGTATTTCTTATCTAAGACTTGGTAACGAATTCCAATGTGACCTTGGGGCCTGGACCCACTAGCCAAGTATTCTACGACGTGTAATGCAATTTTATGGTTTTTTCGAAAAGACAAAGTGATTTTTTATTTGCATGAATGGGTCGTTTTCTGATTTAAAATGAATTGAAATGGCACATAAAACAAAGAAGAACAGCTGTGCACCCGAATTCATGGGTTGGTACGATCTCCTTCACGTAAGTCTTCATAGTGATGTGCCATGGCAATAAAATGTGTCCACGAACACAGTCACGAGGATGAACAAGCAACAGGTATTGGGATACATTCATCACCATGTATCTCATGATACCTCTAGCAGACCATCCGACAGACGCGGAAGCATTCCTGTCAGATTCACCACAATATTCGAATTTCACATTTCAAGTTCAATTTCTCAGAGCCAAAAAAAAAAAACGAAGTCTCCAAATCAACCCCCCCCCCTTTTAAATCCATAAAATCCAGACTTCCAGCCCGCGCAAACCCACCAGCTATAGTGTCCAAATTTATTTTTTTTTTGTTTTTCGACGCGTTTCATTCGACAGGGGGCGGGCATCTTTACAGTCCCCGCTCGGAAACTACCACGCCGTCGAGATCCAATGAATTCGACGGCCGTACTGCGTCACTCTAGGCCACACGTGATCGAAATCCTGAACGGAGTGGTAGAATACTTCGCTAGTGGGTCCAGGCCCCTGGGGCAAAGTTGTTCAGTTCATTTTTCTGCATAACACAGGTTTTTTTTGGATTTTTGTGATTTTTTTTTTTTGCTGGGACCTTCCGTGATCGTTGCACGGCCGGTCCGCCTGGAAATACAAAGTGCCCGGGCGGCCCGGCTGGTAGCCAGAATAATAATTGAAAAACTGTTTAAAATTTAAAAGCTTTTTTTTTTTAATTATTTTTAAGTTTTCTCTAAGGTTTTTTATTTCTAAATCCAGCTTGGTTCGGAATTCGGTACGACTCCCAGGCAAAAGTTGTGTATTATTATTCTGCACAACATACTTTTTTTTCAGATGTTTTGATTTTTTTTTATTTTTTTTTTTGACGTATGCGTACGCATGATTTTGGGTTCGTACGTGTACACCGGAAAACGTGCGCGTACGCACTGCGTACGCGTACGGGGGGTGCTACCCAGTTTTGGGTATGGACCTGTTAGTACACCACCAAATTGCCTCTACCGGAATTTGTGCGCATACGCACTGCGTGCGCGTACAGGGTGCTACCCAGCTTTGGGGATAGACCTATTAGTATATCACCAAATTGCTTCTATCACTACCCCCCACGATAAAGAACATAAATCCGGATGGATGTATTAGCCTGTGGTCTCAGCGGTTGTATCACAGCATGCTGTGGGGTTCTTAGGGTTTCAATCCTCACACACACACACACACACACACCGACAATCAGTTTTATGTCTGTCTATCTGTGTTCTTGTTTTTCCTCCCCCCGATTTTTTTCAAATTCTTTTCTCTGTTGAAGTGAGCACCCTCAAGAAGTGCCATACGGTAGGTGGTCCGTTGTTTGGAGCGCCTACAGCACACTTAGGGGGGCCGCTTGGTTTGGGATGTCTGTGTTGCCTGTGGGTGATGATTAATGTTCGTCTGGGTGACTCTCTGAATCAGCAGCGGGGTCCAATTTGTGATTTCAGTAGGTGATGCGCTTCTTGGCTCCATGTTGGATGCGGAGACTGCCTTGTCTGCGCTCCGCCGCTGCTTTGCTGCCCGTCCTGCTTGTGTAGCATGTACTTCTTTGCAGGGTGGTTGTGTTCACCATGTGGTGCGGCTGCCGTGTTTGTGTTGCCCTGTGCTTCGCTGCGCTGCTGCTTAGCTACTACCCATCCGCTTGCCTTGCCATTTGCGTGCCTTGTGTGGCTCACGCTGTTGCCGTGCTGTTCATCCGCTTGCCCTGTCGTTCCTTGCAGTCGTTGTTTGCATTGTGCAGTTGAGTGGCTTCAGGTGCCTTGCCTGGCTTTTTGAGTGTATAGCGAATATGACAGCACACACACACACACACACACACACACACACACACACACACACACACACACACACAACA